TGGGTTAAAGGAGCACAACGAAAGCATTACAAATTGCATTTTTCTTATATATATATTTATTTATTTATTTATTTAATTACACTACAGTTTCATGTAAAGTACTTTAAGTGAATGATTGGCTTTGCATTTATCGGAAAAGTTGTCGATAATAATCGAAACAAATATATTTATTGTCAATAAAACCGTCAGTCATTAGTAGTAAGTCTGAGAAGAAAAAATAACAAAGATATATCTACATATGTATGTATTAACAGCAACATAATGCGATAGAGTGTATTCATCTAGTTTCTTAATTTGAAAGTATGTAATTACAAAGAGATTTTGAAAAAAAAAAAAAGATATTAATATTGGCATTTATTTGCGTATGTCACCCAACCATTTTACACCTGTAGCTCCTATCGTTAACTCTGCACTTTCACACTAAATTCTCGTTCTATCTCACTCCCGCACTTAGTTTAGTTTTTGCTCCGTCATCCTCAGCCGAACCTCACTTCTTTAAGTGCTTCATTTACCTAATTCTTACAACCCATTTACTTACATAAATAGTTCTTTTTAAAACGTCATCTTCTTTACAGAGTTCTACTATCAGTAGTAAAGTGCATTCTCTGTTTCAAGTTCCAATGAATTACACGAAAATCTTTTAAATTATATACAACTGGAATCCAGGATACATAACGTGGGTGTCATGTCTTCGCTTGCCTGCAACTTTCTGTTAATCTGGACCGCAACAGCCTGATGTCGAATCGCCTCTGCTCGCCTCTGTATATGTGGAGCCGTCCGTCGCGCCCCTTTTTTTTATGAAAAACCTTTAAATTCGATTATTTACGTATTTTTTGCATCTTTGTTGGTTTAAGTATTTATTATTTTAATATTGTGCTGTTCTGTTTAAAAAATAGTTACATGTATTGCTACTTCATTGTTCGTAAATATTGTACAATAAATGATGAAATGTGTATGTATGTATATACTATATATAAAAAGGGAGAGTTGTTTTTCTTTTAGTGCCTGAAAGTAGGCAATACATATTCGCCGCACACTACTTTAGCGTACCTTGTGTAAGAATCAAAACAGTTTGAAGGCCATCGTATTTACTGCTGATAAAGCTTCTGCGACGGCGCACTGTGGCTATAATAGCAAACAATCTTAAAAATCAAATACCTATGTATGTAGGTAAACATGAAAACTAAAAAGAGGAAATATGTACTCGTATTAAAAAGAGTTTTCGTAAAAAGAACTTACCACAGGTACGGTTGCCACTTACTTCTTTTTTTGCGTACCAAAAAGAGTACCAAATCAGAAAAAATGTACCAATTTATCTTTGAACTCTTTATTTCATTGTTTAGATATTTTCCAATACATTTTGACAAAATTTTTATTGAGCCAATTTTTCGAATGTTTTGTGAGCTGGCCACACACTTATGAAATTAGGCATTTTATAGGGTGCCATGTTCCTGATTTTAGGCAGAACTTCAAGTTCTGTCAGGTAGTCTGTGAAACCCCCTCGAATAAAATCCAGAAATCATTCCTCTATTCCGAGATTCCTCTGGAGGATGTTATAAACTTGTCAGGGTGCCTTTTCCCTTAGGAGCTCAGAAAGACCATATAACTCTACTGGGACCATATAAACCCCGTTCGGACCCACGTAATTTAAGTTCTGTCCGACACCGGTACCAGCATTGCCCTCCTCGAGCACGCATCACCATCATACCACACTCTGACAGTGTCCCTTTCAAGAATCTTTACCTTATAGGGCTCGTTCAAGACAAATTACGGTAGCATTTTATCTGAAGGTTTGATCCTCAAAGAATGGTTTTAAAACCAACAAGCGCTTATGAAAGTCACTAAGTCTTGTGTTCACTAAGTTGCTGAAATGCAAAGCGCCACCGGAAGCCTCATTGTCAATAAGTATGGGGGTAAAGATTCCCAGTTCTTTTGCCGAGCAGATTCACATGGCTCCTGTAATGGCTGCACAGACTCATCAGTAAACTTCCCCAGCGCCATAACCAGTTCGCTTGACTTTTGGCCACTAGGCCAGTGCTACATATGTGATAATCGGTTTTGTCCATACAATGAGTGATCAAAACGTCAGTTTGGGCGAGATATCCCCTATGTTTTACCATTACGTCTCTAATGGCGTTGTTGTTAACATCTATGAGATGTGGCTTCCAATTGGGCCTTTTTTTTCAGAGTTATTCCTAGATATTTCGCGTCTGACGATAGCCAATTTCCGAAATTCCCGATGAGGATTCAGTTAAGTTGACTTTCCGTATTTTGGTCAAGGATCGATGGCGAACTATAGTGGGTTTATTTGAATACCGTTTTCAGAGCGCCATTTATCAGTCAGTTTTAAGGCTTCATCGCAGCCCACCACGTAGATGAGTATTAGGAACATCCTTTCTTGTCATGGCCTTGGATTTTTATTCGTATGATGTGCTATCAAACACGGCTGAAATTTCAAGGAAGGCGCCTTTTGAATTACACGGGTTTAACAATATATTGCAGTAATAGTATATTTCGCTGTTTGATATGCTTGTTGGAATTCACAGAAATGCTACACCTTTAAAAAATGAAATATATGATGTAAGTAATAATTATCTCACTACCAAATTTCAAAAATGTAACAAATCTGAAAGTTATTCACCAGTGTACCAAACTGACAAAAATTTACCAAAAATGGTAAATTTCAGCCAAAATAGCAACCGTGACCAGAGGTGGGCAAGAAGGGTTGGCACCTCACGATTCCGATTGCGTGCAAAAGCCCAGAAAATGTGTAGTAAAAAATAAAAATTCGCTTCAAAATATACAATTTTTTTCAACCATATGAGTACCTAATGGATCAGAAAATGGGTAGAATTAAAACAAAAATAAAAATTTGTTAACCAGGTTAGGTATTGAAAATGCCCTTTAATTTAATTTTATTTTTTTAAGCGAATAAACTTAGAAGGACGAAATACGAGGATGTGGTCGAGAGTATATTACTCCTTTCATTAATACTCAAACTGTTTTTCTACATTTTGCAAAATTTTTTAAATAACTTCCTGAAGACATCACATTTTTCAAATTTCAAATTTCTTAAAAAAACAAAACGAGGCCAGGGAGAAAAAAACAGTACTGCAGTTTTACTATATTTGTATCTTTTGCAGTGACGTTTTCCAGACAACGAACTAATAGAACTAAATACTTTTGAAGTTTGCCTCAGTACTCCCGAAAATAATTACTGTACTTGATATTGAAAGAAATTTTGGGGTTTAGTCCAATTTCTTGGTATGTTACATACTCTCGAGGAACGTTTGTGAATTGAAAATTTTCCTTCAACTGGACTAAATGTTTATGTTGATAACTTATATGCTATGGAGAGATGAAATATTTGAACTTAGTAGGCAAACGAGGCATTCCAGGATAAAAGGATCTGAGAGATTTTGACCACAGAGTTTCGTTTTCGCCCACTGTGTTGCGTTGCAACCATCCAATCTATGTATACTAATTCTTCTTCTATCCTCATTCGTTGGCATTTTTCGGCAGGAACAGAGTACATATATTACGTTTTATTGCAGCTTATCCCCAAAGTGGGTTAACGTTTTTTTTTTTTAAGTACAAATCGACAAGAAGATTTTCTCATTCACATAACTTGGAAAGTTTGCGTAACCAAGAACAGAAATCATTTACTGGCAATTTTACAAAGATTTACAATCTCAGATTTTCGATTTTATTAAAATACTATACACATACATTTACAAAACTCCGAAAAGCCCACGTTGACTATCCGCTCAATAGTAACCAAATGAAATATCATGCAAAGGCTGGGCATTGCCTTGTGGTAGAGCATAATCTCGCGCTAATTGATCCAACAAACTGCCACCACCGCCACCAGCGCGTCCCTGCGCCTGCGGTTGATGATTGATCTGTGGTTGATAGCGGGGTAGCGGCGCTGGTGCGGCCTGTTGCACCGGACGTGTCTGCGGCGCTGGTCCAAACTGATCCAATATGGGACGACCACCGGATGGCGGACCTAAGAAGTTGTTAGCGCGTGCACTGGCGGGGGCAGGTTGTACCGGTGCGGGTGCATAGACGGGTCGGGAGATGCGTACATTTGATGGGCCACCGCCAAAGTTCTGTGTGTATGAAAAATAAATGAAAGAAATGAATTGAAAAATTTCGTAACCAGAGATAGTATGCGCCCGCATACCTGTGTTTGTGAATAATCCGGTTCAGGGCGTGCTGGACGTTGTAGTGGTGAATATA